CCATCAGGTCAACCAACCCAGAAAAAAAAGACCCCCCCGCAAACCACTACAATTTTAGGATGCACCTGGTAGCATGACATTTATTAGGAATAAAGACTTCTGAGTTCTGGTGCATTTGTGCGTGCGGGGTTCATTATGTTACTGCTATGTGGTATCTAGTTTCTACCAATATGTTCTTCTTTGTCACTTCCAGAGGAAAATACACCTAGACCAGTTATGTGTTTCTCTGTGAGTCTTTCCTGTCCCCCAAACCCAGCAGGTCGAGGAAGATGGCCGCCTGTTCTGGTTCTGATGGAGGTTTCTTCCTGTTAAGGGAGGAGATTTTCCTTTGTTGCCATTCAGGATGGGAGACCATGATGAAGTGAAGATTCAGTGCAGTCTGCTGGCTTCCTTAGATTGATAGTTTTTGGACAGTGCCTGAGACGACACTTGTTGTGACTTGAACTTTAGAAATAAACTGAATTCAAATGAATTGTATATTGCCCTGAGACAACTTTAGTTGTGAACTGGTGCTATATACATTCAGGGAGATTCAGCTTGTTTTCAACCTCTTAATTTTTCTCAAATTATTAATTTAAAAAAGCAACAGAGGAACTATATCAACCGTCCATACATAGTGAAATGTACAATAAACAAACATTTTTTTAAGATATGAAATGTTTTTTTATGTATTCAAAACATGACATGAATAGGGAGGTGAGTGAGAAGTGGACCTGACCTCCTGAGCTGCAGGTACTCTGTCTTGTTTGTGCTGCAGAAGTGTTGGAGCTCTTTGAGCGTTGTGGGCAGTGGCAACCTGGACAAAGCCTGCAGCTTGGAGATGAAGGAGGGCAGCCGCTGCAGCACAGATAGGAACTCCTGAAGGAACGTGTGCATCTCCTGCAGATTGCCATACAGAGCAAAAGTCACTTTAAAAGGTTTAAACACCAAAATTAATCTGTAAATTTTCAGACTTACTGTACTCTTTTTTTCCCCAAACATGGTTTCTGATCAGATTTTTGATACAAATAAACATTAATAGATATATTATCATCCTCTGTATGTACAACCCCAATTCCAAAAAGTCAAAAACAGTCTTAATCCTAACCCAGAGACAATTTACACTTTTCCAAACTGGATGCCATGGCCTCAGATATGGAGGTGTTGATCCTCCACCTGCTGTTTCAGGTCATATTGAAAGAAGCTTATCACCCATTTTAAAGAGGGAAACCATCAATCCAGTGTGCAAATCCAGTAGCACTACCCCTGATGTCCAGGTGATGCTGCAAAGTTGTGTCAGCTAAGACATCCCAGCAACATCCAGAGCCTTGAGGAACTCGAACCAAAACCTGTCAACCATGTAGCCCTACCACTGTGCAGCTTTTCAACCACCTCTGTGACAATTTTACTCAACCCCAGACTGCAGCCAGGTTCAGATCAGAGAAGTCAATTGATGACTGGGAATCTACAGCATAGTACTAAATTAAGTACTGAATTCATTGTAACAGCGATGTTTTGTAGTAGATGAGTCTGTATGCATAAATGGCCTTCCTACAGTCCAGACCTCTCACCAAAAGAAAACATTTAACAAACCATTAAGCCAAAAAAATAAYGCAAAGACTCAGGGCTGTTGAAAAACTAGAATCCGACATCAGATAATAGGAATATGTTCCTCTACAGAAAAATCCAGCAGATAGTCTTCCTAAGCATTTATAGATTGTGAAAATAAAAAGGGGATGCTGTAAACATGGCCTTTTCTCAACTTTTTTTAAAAATGTGTTGACGTCCCTGAATTCAAAATTACCATATTTTACTATAAAATTGTTATTTTTTTATTTAAACATTGGATCTGCTACTTTGTAAAGAAAATATGTGTTTATGATATCTGCAAGATTTTTTTTGAGTGTTATTTAACCCATTTTTTTTATATCTGCAAACAATGCACCCTGTTTTTGACTCTACACGGCTGTGGCGGAGTGGTTAGGGGAGTCGTCCTGGAACCAGAAGGTCGCTGGTTTGATCCCCCGTCCAGCCGTCKCAGTCGTTGTGTCCTTGGGCAAGACACTTCACCCAMCTTGCCTACTGATGGTGGTCAGAGGGTCCGGTGGCGCCGATGCATGGCAGCCCCACCTCTGTCAGTG